ATAATAATAATAATAATAATAATAATAATAATAATAATAATAATAATGATAATAATGGATTCATTTCTGGGAGAGAATGGTTGGATTCGAAACCCACCCTCGGCCCACAAAATCGTATCATTACCGTAACCGTCCGGATTGGAACGTGGGGTATAAAAACTCTGGACGCCACATGTCTTGCAGAAGGTATGCTGGGCGGAGTGAGTGTTGAAGGTATACGTGGTAAGATGGTCAGCCCCCTGGAGAGAAAGAAGAATCATCAGAATTAGAGCTGGAAGGGACCTTGGAGGTCTTCTAGTCCAACCCCCCCACCTCACCCCGCTTAAACAGGAGCCCCTAAACCGGGGGTGTCAAACTCAATTTCATTGAGGGTATCAGCTCTTAAAAACATTCCTGGACTCCTTTCGAGTTGCCGTAGGGAAGTGGAGGGGGGGGGAACCGGAAGGAGCGGCAAGGCAAATCACAACCGGAAATACATTCCACGCATATTGTGATGACCAAGGGCGTGGCGCGAAAATAACAAAGTTACAAAAGTAGAATAAATTCCCTTTAATGCCTCCAACTTGGCTCCCAATGTCCAATTATCCTTGGCTGGAGATCAAACTCTTCCAAAAAAAAAAACAACCTACGAAGGGAAGAAATGCAGTCCGAATCCAAAGTAGAGATAAATTAGAAATAAAATAAGCCAACACAAACCGCACTGAAGTAATTAACACAGCAGGCCAGGGGGATAAGTTGCAGACTTCCACAAGATAACTCAGCACCCACAGTTGGGACGACGCCAAAACCCAGGTAAGCCTCGACAAAGATAATGCACGCTTTGCTTCCAGCAAGGTGCTGTGTGTAAACGCTCCTCTTATATCCTGTTCTCCCGGCTGCAACTAATGAAAGGGATCAGGGCCCTTTTCTCTCCCGTAAGCCAGGTTGCTCCCTTCTCCATTCCTCCCTGCGTGCCCTAGGATGAAGAGGGTCTTCCTCTGAATGCCCTTCCCCCCATTTCTTCCACAGCCACCGGAGCCACACTCCCTCTCTCTGTCAGCTGCTCAATCTCCCCCTCAGAATCAGATTCCAACAAGGGCACGATACATACCTTACCAAGGCTGTATCCCAGGTTACCGACCCAGTTGGAGGGGCGTGACCTCTTAGAGCCCGGGAAAGTTCTCTGTTGGAGAACGTGATTTATGACACACCCGGGGAGGGGAGGAAACAGGGTCATAGGTGCCCCATAAATTACGCGAGTCAGAGCCGGCTTCATGAGGATCAGCGCCGACTCGCTGCTCCTAATAAATAATTGGATTTCTTTTGAAGTTTGGCTCGAGGCTCATGATTTGATTGGAGCATTTGACGGAATCCTGACAACAGGGCCGCATCGGGGCTGCGGTTGACCTGGGGGTGTGGCCGACTGAGTGGGTGTGGCTGACTGTGTGGGCGTGGCCAGCTTGACACCACTCCCCAAACTTCTGGCGTGTTTCCTCTTCGCCCTGGGTAGACCGAGCCGAACCCACACTGGCCTGATCTTTCCTCTGACCACTGTGCCACCACAGCTCTAACCACTAAGCTCAGGAGGCACCAGGGATGCCACCTTCATCCTCTTCCTCTTTGCAAAACCCTTCTCTTCTAGCACTGACCTCACCGTCCTCCTCAACCTCCTCCCCCATCACTTCTCTTCCTCCTTCTCTTCCTCCTCCTCCTCCTCCTCTCTGCAACCCATCCCATCTCTTCTAGCACTGATGATGTTTCCTAGCTGGGTCATGAAACATCTGCAAGAAAACAAAACCCAAGCTCGGAGACCCCACAAATACAAAGTTCTTATAATTTTGCCTATACTAAAATGTATGATATATTGATGCTCCACTGTGAATGTGTTGTTGCGTATGTGTAGATTGAAATAAAAAAAAACTTGATTAAACAAAAAAACCCCACAAAGTTGTTATTACCTTTATTGTCAGAGTACAACATGCGTACAATGAGATTGGCTGAGCCTCCCTCACTAGGCCTGGATCCCAACTAAACCTTTTGCAGGGTTGCTCAGGTGGACAATTGTCTCTCAAAAGCAAGAAAGCTTATCCACCACTCAAAAATGCAACTGGGAATAACCCCACAGGTGTCCAGGCAACATTTACCTGCCCTCTACTTACCTTCAAAAGCTTAAAGTGTGAAGCGGGCACGATGAAATGCCTGTTTTGTTTCTTCACACAGATGCTGCAACTGGAGAAGGGGGGAGAGAGGAGGAGGAGGAAGAGGAGAAGAAGAAGAAATGTGAATTGTGGAAAGAGACTTAACAAAAAGCCCAGACAAGTAGGTTGACCCTGCAGAGTGAAGGAGAGAGAGAGAAAAAAGGAAGTTTTTGTAGCCCGTTTTGTGAGGAAAGCAAAGTCTTTTCCTAGGCTTGGAACAGCTTACATCCTGCCATAAAACCTTTCATGTTATTAAATTAAAAACAACAAAATAATAAAATCTCGGAGGAAGACTAGATGAGAATAATTATAAACAAGGCCAGAGGAAAATATAAATGTGATGACTGAATACCAGATAAATTAGAAAGGAAATATGATTGAATAATGATTAAAGAGAAACAATGTGGAATTTGGTAAAGGGAATTTACGTGTTTATATGGAAATGGGATAAATTATAAGTACGTGATATAAAGCAATATGTTACCTGCCTTGTAAAGATCTACAATGGAAAGAGGTTTTTTGTTTTTAATGTTTAATGATGTTTTGTTTTGTTTGTTAGTTTGTTTGTTTGGTTGTAAAATCAATAAAACTTGTTTTTTTTAAAAAAAAAAACCTTTCATGTTATTAAGCAACGATACCTGGCTATCCCAGGTGCTTGGGAAGAACTTGATGCTGGATTAAAAATGCCAAATTCAGTCAGAATGTCAGACTGGGTGAGCCTTCCTTGAAGACCAGCGGCATTGACAAATCCCCAGTCAGTCAATTGCAGAAGGCAGCTTTGCTTGGAACAGCTTACATCCTACCACAAAACTTTTTAATATTATTAAACAACAGCTGGCTTTCCCAGGTGGTTGGTGAAGAACTTGATAGGTGGACCAAAATAACAAATCTGGTCTGGCTGGCTGAGAACCCTTTGAACACCACCATCGGCATTGACAAAATCCCTGTCGGTCAACTGCAGCTTCGCTCAGAGCAGCTTACCACAAAACCTTTAATATTTAACATCTGCCTATCCCAGGTGCTTGGGAACTGGATAGGTGAATAAAAATACAATATCCAGTCTAAACACTTGGCTGGTGATTGAGAACCACTTGAATTCTGTTGGATTTGACAATTTCCCCATTAGTCAATTACAAAAAGCAGCTTTGCTCAGAACAGCTGATATCCTGCCACGAGATCTTTAAACACCATTAGACATCCTTATCTGCCTAGAAAGAAGCGCTCGACAGGTGGACAAACATGCCAAATCGAGTCTAAATATCTGGCTGACTGTGCAACCAATAATAATAGTAATAATAATAATCCCAAAATATCTGGAGTACCACTTGGACACCATTGGCATTGACAAAATCCCCATCAGTCAACTGCAAAAGGCAGCTTTGCTTGAAACAGCTTACATCCTGAGATGAGATCTTTCTTATTAAATATTCTCATCTGCCTATCTCAGGTGCTTAGGAAGCATTTAACAGGTGGACAAATATGCCAAGTCGAGTCTAAATATCTGGCTGACTGTGCAACCAATAATAATAATAATAATCCCAAAACATTTGGAGCACCACTCAAACACCATCAGCATTGACAAAATCCCTGTCAGTCAATTGCAGAAGGCAGCTTTACTCGAAACAGCTTACATCCTTGAAACGTGATCTTGAATATTTCTGAATATTCACATCTGCCTATCCCGGGTCCTTGGAAAGCACTCAACAGGTGGACGAATATGTCAGATCTAGTCTAAGTATCTGGCTGACCGTACGACAAAGGATAACACGACCTTTACCTCTGTCCCAAGGAGAAAAGTATCTGGTGATACTTACTTGCAATCAAAAACATGAAGGTTATCGGAGGCCCAGACTTCAAACCGGACGGCGCCGCAGTGACAGCCTCCTGTGTGTTTCACCAGCCCTTGGTACTCACTAAAGAGAAAGAGATCAGTTCACGATCATTTCCGGACTCAAGGAATTACAGAACAGCCAGGCCTCGACTTACAACCACAACAGAGCTCCCCCTCCACATTTCCGTTGCTAAGTGAGACAGTGTGCTTTGCCCATTGTTCTCCCCACAAGTTCAGATAATCCCTGCCGTTGTTAAATCAGTCACATGGTTCGTGAAGGGATTCTGGCTTCCTCGTCGTATTTGCTTGTCGCAAAAGGGGATCACTGGGATGCTGCGACCGTCGCAAATATGAGACGCTTGGCAAGCTTGTCTGAATTTTGATCACGGGACCCTGGGAATAAATCTGAAAAACGGCCCTACGCCACTTTTTTCCAGTGCCGTTGTCACTTCGAGCGGTCACCGAGCAAACGATTGTAAGTCGAGGACCACCTGTACAGCCAAGCGTGCGAGTATCAGCAACCTGTGGCTCTGGAGCCGCATGCGGCTCTTTGGGCCCTCTGCTGTGGCTCCCTGCTGGGTGATGCCTCCACTGGCTGGCCCCGCCCCTCACCCTCCCCTTCACCCCTCCCCACAGAAATGAGACGCACACAACAGAAAACACCGGACGCCAGAAAACCTGGGTAGACGTGGCGGGTGGGGTCACGTGACCAGGCGGGAGTGACTCAACTCATGAAATATTTCTACGGTCTTTTTAGAGTTGCTAACAGAAAGGGAAGGGGGCGCAGTATGGCTGCTTTGCAAAACTGAAAATGAATTCCGTAAATGTTTTTTCAAAGATGGTAACTAGGTGACTGAAGTTTCTCCTGTGCAAAATTCTAACTGGAGAACATGATTGATGACTCTGGGCTATGGAGGTGTCCCATTGGAGGATATGGATGACGATACACCCAGAGGGTGGGTGGGTGGGGGAAACCAGGGTCAAGGGTGACAGTGAATGATGTGCCTCAAGAGTCGGCTGCACCCAGGCAGTGCCGGCATGTTAAACTCCCAATAAATCCTTTTGGCGTTTTGGAAGTTTGGCTCAAGACTCACGATTTAAACAGGGGTAACTACCGGAATCCTGACAGTCACATTGAGTTGGCCACAACCACTCAGGTTTTGTGGCTCCCGGTGTTTTGTTTTCTGTGGGAAACGGGTCCAAATGGCTCTTTGAGTGTTTCCAGGTTGCCGACCCTTGCACTACTAGATTAGAAGACTGGAATACACAGCTGTAATTCTGGAGATTTAACTTGTTTGCCTTTGTTCTGTTTACACCAGGGGTGTGTCCTACCTTGGCAGCTTTAAGACCTGTGGACTGCAACTCCCAGAATTCCCCAACCTGGCTGCCCGGGGAATTCTGGGAGCTGAAGTCCCCCGGTTCTTAAAGCCGCCAAGGTAGGACACACCCCTGCTTTACACCGAAGAGACCACGTCTTTCCCTCCAACTCGTCGGCTCCTCAGCACGCCCACCCTGCAGGGTAGCACCCCCCAAAATGTGTAGACTTTCCCCTTTAACCCTCCGGCTGCCCCATGGATGTCTAAGGCACACGGCCCTTGAATCCATGCGTGCAAATCCAATCCATGCATTCAAGAGCTCTGGGGAAAAAAAAAATAACCTGTGGGTTGTCGGGTGAGTAAGGGTCCCAGGTATAGACCCAGAGGGGCTCCGGAGGTGAAAGGGAAGACCCCTCCCACAAAGCCTCCAGCAGTGAAACTCCCACAACTTCTGAAGGCAACTTCAGTTCGGTTCTTTCCAGCTTCCGGATACATATGCCAGGTTTTGGGGCACCCCTTCCTCATGTGGGGTTTTTTTGTTGTTGTTCCAAACACTTTAGAGCAAGGGTCCCCAACCACCGGTCCCCAGACCGGTACCGGTCCGTGGATCATTTTTTACCGGGCCGCAAAGCTTGGGCGCCGCCATCTTGTTTCGATGGCGCTTCCGGGTTTTCGGTTGGAAAGCAGCGTTTGGGTGCTCGCGCCTTAGTTTCGTCGAAGAGGTGGGGGGCGGCTTCGAACGAAGAGCCGTCCCGATGGCGGTGGAGTCCCGCGTTACTCAGGTACCGGTCCGTGGAAGAATAAATAATCGTGAAACCGGTCCCTGGTTCAAAAAAGGTTGGGGGCCACTGCTTTAGAGGACACCCCCCCCCCAAGTAGCTCTCCCTCCCCACCTACCCAAAGAGAAGGCCCAGACAGGGGATCCCCCAATGCCAGCACAGAAAACCCCAGGCTAACTCAGGGTTTCTGCCTTAACGGGGGAGCGGGACGGGTTGGGGGGGCTCTTGTCTTAAATGGGGTGAGGGACACCCGAGGGGGTCTCTCAGCCACAACAGCGGAGCTCTGCAAATCTCCCCGAAAAAGGAGGTTCGTTTGGTTTTGAGAGTCCAGAAAGGGGTTTATTTGATTGGCAGGTCAAAAAAAAGGGGGGGTTCTGGGTTCACGAGTCCAAAAAGGGGTTCATTTGATTGGCAGGTCAAAAAAAAGGGTGGGGGTTCTTAAGTTTGCAAGAGAGAAAAAGGGGTTCGCTTGGTTGGCAAGTCCAGGAAGGAGTTTGTTTGATTGGCAGGTTCAAAATTGGGGTTCCTTTGGTTTGCAAGCCAAAAAAAGGGGGCTCGTTTGGTTTGGGAATCCAGAAAGCGGGGGGGAGGGGGGGTTGTTTCCTTAAGTTCGCAAGACAGAAAAGGGGGTTCGTTTGGGTTCGCAAGACAGAAAAACGGGGTTCGCTTGGCTTTGCGAGTCCAGGAAGGAGGCCGTACGATCGGCAGGTCCCCCCAAAAGAGGGGAGAGTTTCGTTTGATTGGCAGGTCCAACAAAAGGGAGGGAAAGTTCGTTTAATTGCCAGGTCAAAAAGTTCGCAAGACAGAATAAAAAGGGGTTCGTTTGGGTTTGCAAGACAGAAAAAGGGGTTCACTTGGCTTTGCAAGTCCAGGAAGGAGTCCGTATGATTGGCAGGTAGGGGGGCCGGTTTCGTTTGATTGGCAGGTCAAAA